TATCTCTTTATCAAATAGTGTGATTTGTATAGATAACAGCAGTAAAAAAAATATTTTTCTAATTCATAGGCATGAGAAAGAATCTGGAATCTGAAAAGTCTATGTCATTTTAGTTGCTTCTGATAAAAGTGTTTCCCATCTATGAGTTTGGAGATATGTTTCCATATTTCCCTCATGTTTCCATATTTCCCTCATGTTTCCATACGGTCATTTTTGAGGTATGCTTCTTACAATAATTTCTCTTATGTGTCAGGTGTTGTGGCATTGTACCAATTTTTAAGAGAAGACTTTATTCAATTCTATTACCGTATGGAGGGCAGAAATGAGCAAAAAACGGGCCGTCCCCCCCCCCCCGGCTGCCAGCAGCACTCTGTAAGCCTCCATGCAGTTTTTTTTGACACGAAAAAACAGGCTTTTTGCTCAACCCCCCCGGGGGGGGGGCACTCTGCAAGCCCCCTCAAGGCTATTCATGCCTTTTTTTGAAGAAAAAACGGGCCCGTTTTCATGAAAGATGGGCTGTTTTGGGGAGGTTTGCAGAGTGCAAAAGCTTTTTTTCCTTTTGGAAAGCTCTTTGATTGATGAGAATTATATTGATCAAGTGCTGTGCCAGCAGAAACACCTACCTATCTACTGTATTTCTCTCTATTTCTCTATATCCCTCTACCTACCTACCTACACACACTCTCTCTCTCTCTATCTACTGTATTTCTCTCTCTCTCTTTCTCTTTCTCTCTCTCTCTCTCTATCCCTCCCCCTACCTACCTACCTACTCTCTCTCTCTCCCTACCTACCTACTGTATCTCTCTATCCCTCTATCTGCCTTCCTACTTTTTAAAAAAATAGCCTCTTCAAAACCTTGGTGCGTCATACTCTGGTGCGTCTTATACTCTGAAAAATATGGTACTTTATTAAATCAATCTATATCCACTTATATGGCTGCCATATTGCACTTTTACTAGTTTAATTTTGGATTTGTGTATTACATTGTTACATTAGTCTTGGTAACCAATTTAACATTATTTCATTTTTGGTGCAAGATTCTTGAATTGCCTGTATAACAAACATTCATTCTTTTGCATTTGATACATATGCATTTAATCCCTTATTCCTAGCCTTACATTTTTTTAAGATGGCTCCTTCATTATCTACATGATGCATTCCAATAACCAGATTAACTAATGTTTTATATCTGCATACTTTATACATTTATTGAATAAGGGCTGCCACATTTTCTTTCTGCTTTCCCAGTTGGAGAGGAAAATACTTTTTTGAAATTTTGAGGGGAAGAAAGATGTAAGAAAGCAGCCTAATCATGCCTCTGTTTGGTTACCAAAAATATTGATCTTTCTATGTTTGTTTATTGTTACTGTTAACTGTTGAAAAGAATAGCATAGCAATAGCACTTATACTTATATACCACCCCATAATGCTTTACAACACTCTCTCACCTGTTTTCTATGATGGCATATTGCCTCCAATAATCTGGATCTTCATTTTACCGACTCTGAAAGATGGAAGGCCGAGTCAACCTTGAGTCTGTCAGGATTGAACTCCAGACTGTGGGCGGAGTTAGGCTGCAATACTGCATTTTAACCAGTGTCTACCAGAATAAGTAGAAAAAGATAGGCAAAGGGAGTTGCTTTGTCTGACATTCAGTCTTGTTTGAAATAATATATTGAGTTCTTTGCTTAGGAATTTGAAAACTTTTTTTCATTGGTCACTATATTCTCCTTATATGAACCTCAGAGACCCATTTAATTTCAGCTGCACTATTTATTTTTAAATAATGTTGAAACGGTTATATGACAAGTATTCTAATATTTGCAAATCCAGAAAAAACAATTGTTTTGAAAGACTTAGACATTGCTTAATATAATATAGGTGGACAACATAAAATACATGCTATTGGTATTTACAATCAAAAGTAGAGTATTACAGATGCTAGGTTTAGTGAAAACCTGTAATCAGAGTGACTTCTTTTTATGATTAAAGTAGTTTTTAGTACCTCCGTTATATTAATCCATTATTTACAACAAATGACCTTCCTTGTATTGGATTGTTTTTGGGTGTCAGTTATGGTACTTGTGGTTCAGCATTTCTGGAAGTCATTCTTTTTATATTGATGATTTAACAGATCTTTCCATGGGGATCAGGATGAATTAGTGTACTATGCACACCTTCCTCTAAACTGTGCCACATACCAGGATCCAACCACATGTTGTCTCTGTTGCGATGCCTTGGAATAGCATCACCTCAGAAATAGATGGTCTTCCCTAATAGCGTTCTGGAAATATTTAAAAAGCTGACTTTTTCCAGGCCTGGCAAAGGGGGAAGTGCTGTTGAGCTGACCAGTATATTTTGTGTAGTATTTAAAGTTCATTTGCCTTGACTTGAATGGTATCTTCTGCCTATTATTAGTCTTTTATAGTACAAGCCACCAACAGTCATTCTGGAGTCACTCTGAAGTACATCTAATAAATAAATAGATAAATAAATCATATATTGACATTGAACAGTGTAACTTTGATATTTTGATATTTTTAAAAATATTCTCCAATGCTAGAAAGAATTATCAAAATTCTTTAAAATGAGGCTGTGTATAAGAAAGAGGGTCTCTTTTTGGCTGGAAATTGCCCCCCATTTTAAGACCTTTTCTTGCCACAGTTGTTAAGTGAAATGCTACAGTTGTTAATAGTAACATTGTTGTAAAGTGAATCTGACTTCCCCATTGATTTTTCCTGTAGAACTTTGCAAAAGGGATGCCATGACCCTGAGACACTGCAACCATCATAAACACTAGTGTCCGTTGCCAAGTGTCTGACTTTTGATCACATGACCATGGGAATGCTGCAATGGTTGTGAGTGGGAAAACTGTCGTAAATCACTTTTTCCAGTGCATTTGTAACTTTGAAGGGTCACTAAATGAACTGTTGTAAGTCGAGGACTACCCATATATGCAGTCTTTGCGCTTAACTAAATACAGTTTTCAAAACAACCAGATTTTAAGTATGATTATTTTGAAATTACATTTGGTGAAAACATTGTTAATACATACAGTACTGGTATAGTTTTAATTTGGCTGTGTAGAAAAAACAGGAAAAATGCTCTCCCTAGTATTTTATTGCCTGTCAGCTGCAAAATGGAAGAGAAAAGGGGTAGGTAGGTCAGCCAAGGCTGTTGTCTTCTTCCAGATGCTCCCGATAAAACATTCTCGTCCTGATTTCTTAAAGCTGAAGAAGCAGTATTTACTGTTCATAACATATTATGCTAGTAGTAGTTTTAAAAATCTTGTCCCCAATCAGCCTGTTTCAGCTGCCTTTGATTTTAGCTTTTAATATATTGCTTCATCTTGCCATTTGGTGATTGCTCTAACATTTTATATCTTGACTTGGCCACTTCAGTGCCTGCTGATGTCTTAATTTGAAATTTTTGTCAACTGTACTTAGCATGGCCCAGGGATATTGGAAATTATAAAACCCAACAGACTTTCAACAATCTACAAAATTTAGAAATGGCAGTTGAACGCAGGAATTTTCTGTATGCATTGTTGGGTGCATATAACTCTTAAAATCCTGGCTGATTTTAGGAAAAGTATTTATAGGTATAAATAATAACAATTAAATAACATTTCAAGTTGATTGAACATTTCTAGCATTTGAAGCAAATCAGATTTATCATGATAATGTGACAAAAGGATAGCTTTTGTGTTAGTAAAATTAAATTAGCAAAATTTGGGAGCAAACATGATTGGTTCAGTTCAGTAAGGCATATCAACCAGTATCATTTATGAGATCAAACTATTAATATAAGGGTGAATTTACAGAGAAATTCCTTCCATGGCTTCCCACTATTTTGAGGCAGGTGATGTTCAAAAACTGTAGCATATACTTCAGTAAGGATAATTAAAGGAAAAATAAAGAAACATTCAAATTTTCTCTTGACCTCCAGCAAAAAATCCTGGCTATGTACATGTATCGTAGCTGATATCCCCAATTCTGGTCCTCCAAAATATTAAATATTTAAATAAATATCAAAATATGAAATGTTTCATTTTAAAAATATTTGTCTGCCATAAGCTACAATTCTGTAAGAGTATGAGTGGCTCTTTTTAAAAAAGAATTTGCTAGTATGACAAATTCAAGAGCAGGCCCACATAGAATGAAAATTGGCTGAAATAACTTCAACGTTTTAAAGCAGCAATGCTACTCAGACATTACTGCATTGTGTCATGTATTTCTATGGAGATACAAATTGAAATACATGAGTGAAATACTTTGCTAGAAAAAGGTGAATGTACATTTATTTTGCAAAGCATTATTTAGGTTCAACTGGAGTAACTTTCTCATGTTCTAGACAGCTGACAATACACTTTCAGATCTACATCTGCAGTTGCTGAAGTGTGATTTTAAAAATTTCTTACAAACTAATTAAAACGGAAGTCCACAAGGTTGCCATGCCACCTGAATTAATTAGATTCAAACATGGGTGTAGTCCTTATCCTCCAAGGAATTTCAAAGCCCTGCTTTTTTAACAACACAAGCAGAAGCAGTTGGGGAAGGAAAGGGTAATCATGGTCTGCCTCTCGTTAATTGTTTTCTCTTTTAATACATGTTTCAGGAATGAGTTACTAGATGGGAAACAGGGAGGCTTTTGTGTGCTGGAGTTTTTATTTTCTTGCATTCCAGTTTTGATGCGATAGATAGAGGCAGAACCTTTTTTTTCTCCATTGCTCCAAAAAGGAGTCAAATTCACTGTTTGCAAGCTGTTCTGGGTGCTAGTTTTTATTCAGACTGTGGCGTGTTAGGGATGTAAGTACAATAACAAGTAGTTTTAAATAGCTTTAAATTCCATTTATTATTTCTGGATTGCATATAATGTTTAAGGTGCTTCTTTGTGGAAACATGAATAGACTTTTATAACTAAGGGTTTGTGTGCGTATGCGTGTGTGTGAATCAAACAAGAAATGATTAGCCAATTTTTCCCTCTTCTTCTGGCAGATCTTTTAAAATTGCATGATGTGTGATGAGTTGGAGATTCTTAACAGGGAGATTGAGAGGTTATTACAGAGCAGCATCGTGGAAAGAAGCTCTTTAAACTCAGAATCTCTTCAGACTTCAACCTCTGATTCCTGGGATGTAGTTACTGCTTCAAGCAGTGGACCACAAGGCAGTTTAGTGAAGGTATCCAGTACCTCAATGTTGTTTCAGGATTCGCAAGAGCATCCTGTCTTTTCTCTATTAACTTAACCTTCATAATATCTAGAAAGCCTTCCGTGATAAGTGTTAATCTGGATGTATTCATAATGCAGCACATTTTAATGTGATTTTTTTATATGAATAGAGAAAATTACTGTTTTAACTGACAAAAGACATTTCACACGTCCCTACAAGTTACTGGATAATAAGCCAGTTGTGGAATATAATTGGGCAAATTTTACAGGCTGTTCAATTTTTTTGCATCCAGGTGGCAACTAAGATATTACAAATAAAAAAGAAACATGATTTCAGAGACAGGACATAAGTAGTTGCTTGAGGGGTTTGCATGTAATAACTAAGGGTGTTGTTCAATAGCCATTGTAGCAAGATACAAAAGTCAGGGGATTGTTTAAAATGTGGCTAGTTTTCTGTGAAAATCAAAAGTCAGTAACAGAACATTTCCTGTGCTGCCCCTTTAAGGGAAATGGATTAGAATGTTCAGACTTTTGAGTTTATGGTAGCTGGGATTTGTCAGTTGGGAAATACCACATTTACTTCAATAATAGCTGTTGGGAGTAGAGAAGTAGATAGCTGGTGCCATATAAAGAAATGTTTAGAAATAAGAAATGCAACAGTAATTTCAAATCCTCAGGAACACAGATTATTTTGAGAATCATTTACTGAACAGAGTGACCATGAATTTTATATGTATTACTTTGCTTTGGTTGTGTAAATTATGCCAGTATTGTTTTGAATAGCAAAAACCTATTTGAGGTCTTAGTGGTTGCTTTTCTGTAAATTAGTGGTTAAAAAGACTTGGAGCTTCTTACAGCCTAATAAAATGCTTAATATGTATTAGATCCCACATTGCTTTGTAGTGTGATTAAATTAACTTTTAAACCTATTGATTAAAGTTTTAATACCTAGTTTTCTAACTTAAACAGTAATTTAGGTGAAGAAAACTATAAATAAATTTTCCTATAACAGGCAGCTGTATCGAGTGGAGCATTGCTGGTTTCAGAGTCTTCAGGATGGCATCCAGATGACCGTTACTCTATTGGCTTCCCCAGAATAGCGTCTGTTGTTGGGATTATGCTGAATGACTCTGATTTACTTCTGCCCTCCTGTGATTCCTCCCTTGGCTTAAGTGGACAGGAAGAACTAATTCCAGCAACCTCTAATGCTGTGTCAGGTAAAAAGCATTTAGAGGATAGTGAAGACTCTTCTATTTCTCTTGCTTATTCTGGAGACGGGATTCTAACCTTTCTTCGCCTTCAAAGGTAAACCCTTCCATTAAAATGTCAATTGCATGTTGTGATATACTGTACCACACCCTTCTTCTTTAGAAATTGAGGTGTGACATTAAATCAAATTGGAGATTTTAAATTTCACCAAGGGCTACCTGAGGACAAACGATTGACATATTGGGAGAGAAAGGGTAGTATGCTGCTTTGTTTAGGTGATAGCAATGTTATAAGCTGAAAGGAGAAAAGCTGTTTTCTGAGAGGGCATTGGTGAAAGCTGTAGAAAAGTTGGAAAGCTCTGGAAAAGTTGGATGTGAACTCTATCATCATCAAGACAAATTATAACCTGTTCTGATCCCAGTATTCAGTGCTTTTAGCATCAAGGGCCATTGAACCTAGTGCATTATAGGGCAAAAATCATTCTCCCAAATCTTGGGTAGGACTAATACATAGCATTGCTACCCTAGGTTTGCTAAACGCAAGATTAGGCACTTTGATATTATCAAACTACTATTAGCATAATGATTTCCATCTGCTTCCAAAGGCAGTCATATCTTTCATAATCACTTGGTCACAGGATAAAGAATTAGAGTTCAGTGATGCAGATTGTACTGCAGGGATCAGTTTCCTTGTCTGTAGGCCAGAAACCATGCTGCCACCACCCATTTCCAGGGGATTTATTGCTCTACCTGTGCCAAGGTGAAGCTGTCGACCAAATGGTCAAATGAGGAGGTGGTGGCACTCTTTCCCTCCCTTGCAGGCCAGAGGAATTTTTTTTTTTGCAACTATGAGTCAGATAATCATGAGTGATGGCCCACATTCATCCCGCAAACCATAGGTCACCAGTCCCTGGTGTTCTGGATAAGGGAGCTCTGCAGATAAGGGGATGCAACAGAACTGTGTCACAAGTGGAAAAGAGTCTAAAATCTAATTGGGTGGTATCATGAATTTGGAGAGATTTTTCTGTTAGGAGCAATTATTATGCCCGTATCAGACAAAGCAGAGATGATGATAAAGTAAGGAAATACTGCTAAATATTTACTAGAAAACTAGAGAGAAGCCAGAATCTTTGAGAGGATAGGAATGACTGGAAGTTGCAGGTTATCAAGTATGATTAAATCATCTTCAGTATTTCTGATAATTTTGTGAGAGAAGAGAGAATGCAGATGTAAGATGTTGTTTTTGTGTGAATATACACTGCTCAAAAAAATAAAGGGAACACAAAAATAAGACATCCTAGATCTGAATGAATGAAATATTCTTATTAAATACATAATTGAATGTGCTGACAACAAAATCACACAAAAATTATCAATGGAAATCAAATTTAGCAACCCATGGAGGTCTGGATTTGGAGTTACACTCAAAATTAAAGTGGGAAAAAACACTACAGGCTGATCCAACTTTGATGTAATGTCCTTAAAACAAGTCAAAATGAGACTCAGTAGTGCCTGGGCATGCTCCTGATGAGATGGCGGATGGTCTCCTGAGGGATCTCCTCTCACACCTGGACTAAAGCATCCCCCAACTCTTGGATAGTCTGTGGTGCAATGTGGCATTGGTGGATGGAGTGAGATATGATGTCCCAGATGTGCTCAATTGGATTCAGGTCTGGGGAACGGGCGGACCAGTCTATAGCATCAATCCCTTTGTCTTGCAGGAACTGCTGATGCACTCCAGCTGTATGAGGTCTAGCATTGTCTTGCATTAGGAGGAACCCAGGGCCAACCGCACCAGCATATGGTCTGACAAGGGCTCTGAGTACGCAACATCTCTCGACATCTCGGTACCTAATGGCAGTCAGGCTACCTCTGGCGAGCACATGGAGGGCTATGTGGCCCCCTAAAGAAATGCCACCCCACACCATTACTGACCCACTGCCAAACCGGTCATGCTGGAGGATGTTGCAGGCAGCAGAACATTCTCCAGACCCTGTCACGTCTGTCAAATGTGCTCAGTGCAAACCTGTTTTCATCTGTGAAGAGCATAGGGCGCCAATGGCAAATTTGCCAATCTTTGTGTTCTCTGGCAAATGCCAAACGTCCTGCACGGTGTTGGGCTGTAAGCACAACCCCCACCTGTGGACGTTGGGCCCTCATACCACCCTCATGGAGTCTGTTTCTGACCCTTTGAGCAGCCACATGCACATTTGTGGCTCGCTGGAGGTCATTTTGCAGGCTCTGGCAGTGCTCCTCCTATCCCTCCTTGCACAAAGGCGGAGGTAGCGGTCCTGATGCTGGGTTGTTGCCCTCCTACGGCCTCCTCCACATCTCCTGATACACTGGCCTGTCTCCTGGTAGCGCCTCCATGCTCTGGACACTACGCTGACAGACACAGCAAACCTTCTTGCCACACTTCACATTGATGTCCCATCCTGAATGAGTTGCACTACCTGAGCCACTTGTGTGGGTTGTACACTCCGTCTAATGCTACCACTAGAGTGAAAGCACCGCTAGCATTCAAAAGTGACCAAACTATCAGCCAGAAAGCATAGGAACTGAGAAGTGGTCTGTGGTCACCACCTGCAGAACCACTCCTTTATTGGGGATGTCTTGCTAACTGCCTATGCTTTCCACCTGTTGTCTATTCCATGTGCACAACAGCATGTGAAATTGATTGTCAATCAGTGTTGCGACCTAAGTGGACAGTTTGATTTCACAGACATGTGATTGACTTGGCGTTACATTGTGTTGTTTAAGTGTTCCCTTTATTTTTTTGACCAGTATATATTTTTGTTATGTGTTTCTTTCACATTATACCGTCTTTTTGGAGTATAAGATGCACCAAGGTTTTGAAGAGACAAATTTTAAAAAAAGTTTTTGCACTCTGCAAACCTTCCGAAAACGGGCCCATTTTTTTTTTCAAAAAAAGGGCATGCATAGCCTTCAGGAGGCTTGTAGAGTGCTCTTGGGGGGTGCCCCCCCAAATGAGCAAAAAACCGCCTGTTTTCCCCTCATTTCTGCCCTCCCCAGGAGCACTCTACAAGCCGCCTAAAAGTTATGCACGGCCATTTTGTTGAAGGGGGCGGGGTTTCAGGAGGCAAAAATGCTGTATTCAGTGTATGACACATCCAGATTTTCAGCCTGTTTTTTGAGGGGAAAGGGTGCGTCTTATACTCCAAAAAATACGGTATTTACTGTAGCCCACCTCCTGTTCATGCAGATCTTGTTGCCTTGAAAGGCAAGCTGTAAATATTCCAGATCATTTGATAACAGTGCATTCAAAAAGCTCTAATAATAGATGAATTATTTTAGAATTTGATCTTTCATGATGAATGAGGCACTAAAATGCTTGCATAGTTAATCTGCTGTTTAAACTGAAATTTAGTAAGTGAGGCTATATCAGATTTGCGTTTATGTCAGCTGGAGGACATTTGCATTTTTTCAGGCCTAGCAAGGAGGTGTGGCAAACCACTTCTGAAATCTTGCCAAGAAAACTACAGGGGCTTCTCCAGGCAGTTGCCAGGAGTCACCAATGTCTTTGAAGGCATGTGCTCTCACACAAACATCCATACGTGCTTATCATTACTTTTTATTTGTTTTCAGAGGTGACTTTTTGGAACAGTAATATCTGTACTATGGAAGACGACAGTTTGGAATCTATGACACTGGAGTCTCAGTCTAACATGGAAAATTCTTCTCTTGGTAAATTATTTTATTTAGGGAAGTAAATTTAATAGAAGCTAAGCATCGTTCCCATTATTTTGCTTAGGCTGCAGAGGTCCAAATTGCACCACTGCGTTGGCAGCTTTTGATGAACTCAAGGGGTTGGATTCTAGTATTTTGGAGTAGCTTTCTTTCTAGGGGAGCACATGAGTTTAGCTCCATCTCTGAATTTATAATTCAGAAGCTGACTTGGACATAGTCGTACAACAGCATCAGGCATTCTCCCTTCCTATTTTCTTCATAGTTATAGCCAGGACAGTCAACTGCTGTAATATTGTGACTATGCTTGTAGTAATGTGACTGCACTTTCCTTGCTGACAAGGATGATGAAGGTTCAGGTTCTGTACACAGGCATCAAGAATCAGAAATATCCCCCCTCCCTTACCAGTATTCAATTTCTGTCCTTTATAAACACATTAGAATGGGGACAGGTGGCTGAATTTTTCAAAGATGTACAGGTAGTCCTCGACTTAGCGGCCACAATTGAGCCCAGAATGTATGTTGCTAAGTGCGAAATTTGTTAAGTCAGTTTTGCCCCATGTTACGGCTTTCCTAGCCACATTTGTTAAGTGAATCGCTGCAGTTATTAAGTGAATCTGGCTTCTCCCATTGACTTTGCTTGACAGAAGGTTGCAAACTATGATCACATGACACTTCAACTGTCATAAATATGAACCAGTTGCCAAGCATCCAAGTGTAAATCACGTGACCCTGGGGATGCTGCAAAGATCATAAGTATGAAAAATGGTCAGAAGTCACTTTTAGTGCCGTTGTAACTTTGAACGGTCACTAAGTGAACTGTTGTAAGTTGACCACTACCTGTATTTCTATTGATGGGATAAGAAGTTACATTTAGCTTCATACACTACAAGTGAAGTGAGGCTATGTATTGTGCCCCTAAAAGCTGTGTTCCATATTTCTCCCAGAGTGCTGTTGCTTATGGAAGTGATCTTTATAAAAGACATAATTCTTTCTCCTTTGTTAGCTGCGGATGACAGAGATGAACAAAGCAATGAGGATGAACAAAAAACTGTGAAACCGACTAGCAAGGAGTTCAAGAAAACGTGGGGGTTTCGTAGGACTACTATTGCAAAGCGTGAAAGCTTAGGAGATGCCGAAATGGACATTGCTGAACAAGCATCTCCTCAGCAGCAAAGCCTGGCTCTTCGGCGTAGCGGACGGCAACCCAAGCGTACCGAACGGGTGGAAGAATTTCTTACGACCGTGAGGCGCAGAGGACGGAAGAATCTTCCCACAGCTCTTGATGACTTCAATGAGCCAGCTTCTTGCCATGTTACCGATGTCGAAACTGCCTCCGAAGGGAGTGTAGATAGCATGCCTGATATAAAAAATGTAACTCAAAAGAACCGTTCTAATGATGGCAAAGGCCAGCCGACTCGAAAAGGAAGAAGTGCTAAAGAGCACGAAGAGGAAGAGGATGAGGAAGATACATCGGACAGCGATAGCGATGGGTTAACGTTGAAAGAGTTGCAGAACCGTCTGAGAAAGAAACGGGTAGAAGAGAAGCCCTCAGAGCTAACGCTTCAAGAGATACAGAATCAACTCAGGAAGAAACATCCAGAACAAATCCCTGCTGAGACAGCTGACGTCCAGACCAGCAGCCAAATTAAGCATGAAATAACTGTAAAGCAAGAACCAGGAACTACAGATAATGCTGAGACGGGGGAACAAAGCTCTGTCTCCAAGGAAACCAGCGAAGCAGGTCAGATTAAGAAAGAAATCAAATGTGCTCCACAGATCGCCAGTGAACTTGAACGCAGAAAGGGCAAATCAGAATCAGAAGTGTATGACCCCAATACGCTTTATTGCATCTGTCAACAGCCTCACAACAACAGGTATTGTTTTATAAATAATGTCAGAAGTATTTCATAAAATGGGTCCAGTAAACATTTGAGGAAACTACTCTAAATGTATGTTTTATTAAAGATCAAAAGACAGTTTTCATATTAGTGCTTTTAGCAACAAATGCTATAGACAGTATTGATAGAAAGGGGAGAATGGGGAATTAAATGGTGATGGAAACAACTGTTTATTAATTTAAATGTATGACAACAATAAGCATGTTTTAAAGTGCACTGTCACTGCAGGGCATTTTTGAAACAATTTGGTTTCTCATTGTCTGTATTGTATTGTAGCAAAAACTCAAAAATATTGAATGTAGAAAGGACTACATAACCAAAACAGGTAGAGGAAAATAGCTAGCTTCAAAAATGGAAATAAAGGCTATAGGGACACTTGTTCCTATGGGGTATATATCGGTGGCATACAAACAGAACAAAGCTATGAGTGGGTGGATACTGCAGTAGAAATCATATATAAGGCAACACTTGATCTCATCTTTTTTAAGATAAAACTATAAAATTCTGTAAAGAAAAAACAAAGGTTCTTACTCTTTTGAGGGTTAAAAAAATTATGACTTACGTAACTTCATAAGATATATAT